TCAAAATAAAGTGGGTCAAGCATGGTATTAATATCTATCTTTCTTAAATGGTCCATACGTTGAATAGACTGAATAAATCCATTATTATAATCATTTATTGAATTAAATTTGACAGCAAGACTATTATCTATAAATCAAATTTTTAGCTTAAAGCGTAATAAAACAAACTTCATTGAATCAAGAAGACTTAAGAAGAAAGAAACCATCCTTTGTTTCATTGAAGATGAGAGAGTTGGACTTCTATATAAATCAAAAAATAAAGGATATAAGAAAATTAATAATTGTTCCATGTTAGTACAACTTTGTATTTGACCCAAATGGTGATGAAGAATATCAGTTGTTTCAGGGTTTATTGATAATGATGATTGAATTTTTTGAATTAACTTCGGAATATTTCTAAGGACTTCTTCTGGAGTATGAGGAGAGAAACATTGTGGGATAGTGTCAACCATAAAAATAAATAAGTAGATGAGAAAGTTGTGCGATAAAATCTTTGATTTTTATTCAATTCTTTTTAAATCAGGTAAATTAAAACTGAATTTAAATCTGAAAAGAATACTCTTTTTCTATAAATTTCTCGGGACCACGATTGTTTCATTAAAAAAAAAGTGATTTTAAAGTGAATTTCTTAAACTATTTTTCTTCTGTTTATTCAAAATTTATTTTTGTTCATTCGATTTCTTTTTTTGTTTTGCGTTGTTTAATTCATTTTCTTTTTATTATTAAAAACACATAATTTAATAACAATATTGTTTTTTAACAATAAAAAGAAAAAATAAAAATTTTTAATAGAACTAATAAACATTAAAAAAAAAAAAATTAATGTCTTTTATAGAGCAGCCTAATACCATTATTTTTAAAGCCAAAGGGCTGCTTTCTTTTCCTATTGAAGTAATCAATAATAGCAATTTCATTACAACATTAAATCTCAGTTTAAACTGTATTACAGTTTGTGATTTTTTATAGTAATAAAAACCACTTACATCAACAACCAAGTAATATAATAGGAAATACCAAATGTTAGTTTTGAACGACTTAGTGTATTGGCATTACTAGGAAATAAAATTTCATTTATTTCAGAAAAACAAACAAAATCATTTCCGAAATTACACAAACTTGATGTTTCACAAAATTTATTATCTGATATCTCATCACTTATCAATCTCACATGTCTCAGTCATCTTGATTTATCACAAAATTCAATAACTGACATCACTCCTCTTATTCAATTAGAAAACTTAGAATTTCTTTCATTATCAGTTAATTATATCCATTCACTACCCGATGGATTTACAAAACTTAGAAAATTAAAGACTGTTTGTTATAATTATTATTATATAAGATATTTTATTTATATTATTTAGTTAGATTTAGATCATAATTTCTTTGAAACTATCCCAACAACTATTTGTGAATGTCCTCTACAATCAATAAACTTAAATGGTAATTCTATTAAAAAAATTCCAATTGAATTTACCAAATTACAATCTTTACACATGTTTTCTATTGCATGTAATCAACTAACAGAACTCCCTTCATTCTTTTCTTTATTATCAAATCTAAATTCATTAGATATTGACCATAATCCATTAACTTCAATTAATCTTTTAGCAAGTATGAGTATATCTGATTTAGTAATGAGTGATGTATTATTTAATACTCTTTCATTACATGAATTTGTTACACTAACAAGATTAAGAATATTTGGTGGAAATATTAAACAAGTAAATGAGTTACCTCCAATTAAAACATTATATATTGAAAATCTTGGTCTTAAAAAAATTGAATCAATTCCAGAGTGTAATGAACTTTCATTACAGACAAATGGACTTACTTCTATTCCAGCAGTTAATTCTGCTATAGAAATATTAAATTTAAAAGATAACTTATTAACACACTTACCTGATATGTATCCTACTCTTCAACGATTGGATGTTACAAAAAATCTCTTATCTGAATTACCACAATTACATACATCACTTCGATTTCTTTCAATTTCATGTAATAACTTTGAATCCTTTCCAAATAATATAACTCAATTAATTCATCTTCGTTATCTAGATTTATCAAACAATAAAGTTATTTCTATTCCATCTTCAATATGTAATTTAGTTGAATTAGAACAATTAAGAATGTCTTTTAATTATATTTGCTCTTTACCAAATGAATTGTCAATGCTCAGTCATTTAAGGTTATTAAATATTTCTCATAATAGATTATATCAATTACCACCATATCTTCCTCTTTCATTAAGAACATTATTAATAAATTCTAATCATTTAATTTGTTTACCTTCAATAATAAAAAATATTCATTTAATAGAAATTGATATTAGTTGTAAATCACTTGTTAGTATTGATTATTTAACGGCTATTC